CAGTGTGGCAGTCTCAGTGTCCCTCTGAGTTCCAGTGTGGCAGTCTCCGTGTCCCTCTGAGTTACAGTGTGTCAGTCTCTGTGTCCCTCTGAGTTACAGTGTGGCAGTCTCAGTGTCCCTCTAAGTTTCAGTGTGGCAGTCTCAGTGTCCCTCTGAGTTTCAGTGTGGCAGTCTCAGTGTCCATCTGAGTGTCAGTGTAAAAATCCATCCTATTGTCCTTCTGAGACTCAGTGTAGTCTAGCACCTCTGCATCATGATCTCTGAAGTAAGACTACTCAGTTCAAACTAGCTAGGGAGGTACAACCTCAGTACCTTTCTATAATTAGCTAATTGATCAAATTCATTAGTGAATGTGCAAGAGAAATGTTACTTTCTTACACACTCTAACTCCGACCTGCATAAGTAGCATATGAGGTGGATGGATGAATTGATGGATGGGTGAATGGATGGATGGATGGATGGATGGATGGTTTTTGTGCTACTGGACCTTCTTACATTAGGACTTTTGGCCAGATTCGGTGTTTCTCAACCATTCCTTGGGGATCCCCAGACAGTCCTCATTTTTGCTTCCTCCCAGCCGCTAGAATAAACCTAACAATCAAGACCACCAAAGACCTGGTACTGGTGTGCTGAGAGCTGGGAGGGAGCAGAAATTGTTTGGGGCCCCCCGAGGACCGGGTTGAAAAACACCCAATTAACAGAGTGTTACCTCACTTTATCAGATTTTGTTTTGTCCAGCCAACTGCGGCATCACACAGACCAGACAGCGACAGCTGGACTCATTTGGGCCTGAGCTCAGCACTGGTGTTTTTGCTTCAGTCTCCCTCTTTCTGTCCACCAAGAGCAAAAGAGGACTGGTGAAGGAGTAGCAGAAGATAGAGTGAGGAGTCAGGTGGAGGGCAAGAAGGAGAGAGGAGTGAAGGGAAGGGGAGGGAGGGTGAGAGTATGAAGGCGCTCACGTGGTTATCTGCTGGAAGTCGGGGCATGGAGGCAGCCCTCCCGTGCCCTTCCATGGGGAGATAGTGCTCACTGTCCGAGTGACCTTCCCGCCCCATCTCTCTCATCTCTACCGTCTGCAAAACAGAGGAAGAGGAGGCGTGACTGCTGCAGGCATCGGCAGGGGTGTGGGCGGGCCACGGGGGGGGTCAGAAGGGGGCGTAGTGGGCGGACCCAAGGGAGGGATGTGCACCTGCCCAATCAGGGATCAGCCAATTGGATGACAGGGACACAACGGGACTCACAGCTGACTGAAGGACACAGGCTATGCTAATGCTAGGAAGATACCCATGCCTGTCTGCTAGGACACATCCTTCATGGCTCTCTGTTTGCATTAGTCACTCTAAGTGAGGACCCAAAGAATATCGAAACGGACATCAGTGGTTTCCCAGAATGTTGATCGGGGGAGTTTCCTGCTGCTAGCGCTCCGACAGCGTGTCCAGACGACGGCCGGCCTTTATCAGAACCGTGTAGCATCAAATTACATAGCTGTCTTCATTTGCATTATATGGTACTAAAACAGAATCGCGCCAATTTGTATCAGGCAAGGAACCGGTGAAGATCATGCAGGTTTTGATAGACTCATTTATATTTGTCCAGAGGGGAATGCGTCCCTCATATGCACACAAAGACATGCCACAGTGAAGAGTCCTGCTGTTTTGTCATGCCGATCCATACCAGTGGGTGGTGGATGTTCGTTTTCTCCCGTGTTAGCTTTGGTGTGACACTGAAGGCTTTGGTCCAGCCCTACACCAGGACCCGACAAGGCCAGAGACCTCCTGCAACTTGGCCACGCTGGTTTTTTTTTGTTGTCTTACCTGGACTGCCACATATTTCAAAAATCTGACCACTGTACACGCAACGAGAGTGTCCACTGTAAGGCAAAATCAGACACATCCGGGCTCCTTCACGCTTGAGAGCAGAACAATAGCACTGGACGAAAGACAGCGCTGGCACTGGCACCTGAAGAGGACGCCTTTCCCAGAGAGTTAGTGCAAGGGCTTACTGATGGAGCCTGAGTTCTCTCTCTAGGTCCTATAGATGACTGTCAGAGAGGGTAGGGGGGCAGTGGGGGTGTGGCAGAGATCATTAACATTGCCCAGGTGTGTTGTGAGGAATGACTGTGCAATGAGACGTGGCGGGTGAACAATGGACTCACTCGGGGAGTGAGTAAGAGGGACAGACGGGAGAGAGAGGTGCAAGAGCGTAAGTGAAGGTGATGAGCACTGATTCAGGAAGTCACAGGGCCCTGGTGTGGGATCGGAAGCTGCGGTATGCCCGTGATGAATGCCAGGGTGTACAGTGAATCAGTACATTCAAAACAACCAAAGAGTATTTGCAGGGAGAGTTTGGCACTGTTCGTTTGAATGAGGCAGCTCCAGCGGCTCTCCTGTCTGAGTCTGGGTGTCAGCAGGAGACCCAAATGGCCACGTGTTTGCATACGTGTGTTTGTTGGCACCCTCGGGTGTACCTGTGGATCATGGCGGCCCCCGTGAAGGTCATCCGGGTGCGGTCCTTCTGGACTCCAGCTTCCAGCTTTCTGGGACATCTCTTGGGCCCGTGCCGTTACCCAGGACTGGCTCTCTCTCATCCCCCCTTCCAGCGGCCTGGGAGAGAGAGCCGGTGAGGACAGTGGCTGTGCCATATCCATGTGTGTGTCACCGAACTGTGCCAGGCCAACGACAAGAACCTGCAAGGCTTTCCTGTGCCACATCCTAGGATGTATCCATTCTACGTCCATCCCTCTCCATCTGCCACACTACCTTCATGCAGACACTCATGGCAAACCTACTGTACTTATCACCTAACCAATCATTTTCAAGCACAAACAAATCAATTCCAGTGTATATCATGTTTGTACTGGCTTTTAAAACACACTATTAGTACTAAAACTTTAGGAATATATTTTACAGTCCCTGTCTTCAATATTGACCTATACTGGACTGACTAGAACAGTACAAATGGCAGAAGAGGTTCTAAAGGCTGGGGGAAAAAAAACAATAATTTTGATAAAATGCATCTCTCTCTTGGTAAATGGGCTTTGGCCTAGACCCACAGTTAGATAGACTGAACTAGACCTAAGCTGAACCCTGTGCTGATCTACATGGGCATGAGCACAGAGAAGTCCTTATGGTTGTTGAATGTTAAGGTGTGACGACCACGTGTCTTCTTCTTCTCATGCTGACACACCAGCCAACACAAGATGGGCAGTGCAAACTCCAGCACATGCCCATATCGCTGGCTGTCAGGAAAGAGAGAGAGAGAGAAGGAACCAGGGGCGAAAGAGGAAAGAAAGAGAGAAGTGCCTACTTACAAATTGCTGGTAGGATCCATCTGTGGCTCTGGGAGACCGTTGACTCCCTGCCCACCTTCCTGGGTTGGGGAGGGGGGCTCCAGGCGCTGAAACATTAATGGCGTTCGATTCTGTGTGAGATACAACATGGCCTGCAGCTGGTATCAGACAGACTTATGGGAAATGGAGTCACAACACCCAGAGTGCAAATGGAGAGGGGCTCCAATGGCAATGGGAGACAGCAAAAGGCAGCCAGGAGGCATTCTGGGAATCAGTTCTTTTAATGCCCTTCACTTCTGGCACCACCTGAGTGGGATCCTCAAGCCTGTGCTGTCTATAGGGTGCCGATGGCTTGTGACAATTCATTTACTTCCAGCTGACCAGTAAATGAATGGTCATTACCAGCTGAGTGCTCCATTGAGGTCAGTGGTAAATCCCAATCAGCTTCTCATCAGGCTGCTTAGACTAGGTATGAAGTCAAGCTCTCTGCTTCTCTGTTCTAAGCTCATGCTTACACTGCACTAACTGCAATCCTCTGCAGTGTATATGAGGACATATGATTCTGTGGTGTAAAATTACAGTTACAGGTCACCCAAGAACACCAACTCAACACCATTGACGTTCACATGACGCTTTCAAACACTCTATCATTTTTCACTACTGCAACTGTGATTTAATTAACTTCTCTCTGCTACACTGCAATCTGGATAAAAGAACATTATTTCTCCTTCCATGGAGGAAGACTGTGACTTCAGTACTTTAGTCGGTCAAACTCAACTCATTACAAACACAGATCTATTGTAGTAGATGTAATTTTCTGGCAACCCCTTAAACATACAAGTCATACTTTTAAGGAGAAATTAACAGAAATTTGCCAAAACACTGCGCTCCCTCCTTTCTGTCGTAAACACAAGAGAGAGAAGGCCATTTAAATCACACGTGTTCTCTTCGTGTCACAGTGAGAGCCTTAACTCACATACTTGCAAGTCATTCTAAGAAAAAAATATGACTAACATGGAAAGGATGATGAAACATCAGAAAAATAATCCTTTTCCACAAATAAATTGTTTAGTTTCTGGCTAGAGTCTGGTTTCTGCCTCGAAGAAGGTTTACTAACATGAAGTGAACTAATATCAACAGCAGTAGCCTATAAATGAACAACTAACGCAAGCTGATGATAAGTATATCAGCATGATTGGGACAACATCAGCATGTTAATTCTCCAACCTAAATAAAACCTTCACCAGATGTAGTACTATAGGAAAACAAGTTGAAAGGCAGTCAATAGGAGAAAGACAGTTAATACTGCTAGGTCAGCTGAAAAGATGAGAAAACTGGTCCTCGATTTATCCACCACCCACCTTGGAGTAATAGAGAGGCAGAGAGACAGAGAGAGAGAGAGACAGAGAAAGGGAGCGTTTGGGTAATGAAGAAACAGACACAAGGACAGTAAAACACACATATGAACAATGTGTATAAAACACGGAAAACAGGGAAATGGTCACAGGAAACATTTGAAAGTATTAAAGAGGTGGGACAGAGGTGCAGATAGACATAGAGACGGGGCACAGCAAACAAAGACGTACAAAGAAACACAGTACAGAAGAGTATTATGAATCACTAGAGTACAGCAAGAAAGTGAAACAGGAACCTGTGTCAGACCAATTCACAGAAAGACACTGATCCCACAACACCCAACACTCTACATTCATCCACTTAAAACTTATTGGGGGTGGAAGACAGGTAACTACAGCTTCTGAAGACTGAACCCACCTCAATAACTATGACTCATGTCAATGATGCTGTCTTTCTGCATCTGAGACCGAGACAGGTTTCAGGAGCCAGGGTTTGTAAGTGGGTGGATAAATGACTTTACGGAGAATTTACACGGGAACATGGATGTAGGAAACGGCCAAGGCCCATGTTGTGCAGTATCTGCTGGACGTTATGTCATCCAGCCCAACACCAACACCGCAAGCTAACCATTGATGGTCAGCAATGGAGGCCTCTGGATACAAGCCAGGAATAGACAGCTCCTTTAGTCCAGCTGGCATCCAAAAGCCTCACCCCGCTGCATATTCTCAGCCCCAAAATATACCAATAGCATCCACATGCGTTTATCGTTATGATGCGTCCTGAACCCATGCACACATAGCATACTGATGATGAAAACATTATTAGACTTCATTTGTGGGTTATAATACTATTGTGTGGTTTGATATATTTGCATAATCTGCATTTTTTTTTTAACTAGGCCTTTGTGTAAGCCGAACAGCATTCACAGAAATATAAAAAAACCCGGCAAGATTATTTTCAGGCTCCACTCTGTGTTAAACAAGGTCCTCCTCTTCTTCTCCCTTAGGAAAGCATGTCGCAGTGGGGAGGAGGTGCGGGGAACACGGGAGCAAAGCGGAGATCAGCAGCAGGATGGAGAGCTGAGGGAGAGCAGGTGCTCAGTGGGATGGATGACTTGTGAGATAAATGACCGTATGGGGGCCACACGACTAGGGGAGGAGGTTTCCATTCACACTGGGGGCCGGCAGGTCTCCACACAGCTTCGGCTGCTGTCCTTGATGAGGACAAAGTCTTTCCTACTGCATAATTATACACTGAACACATTGATGTACTTTAGCAGTGTGCCAACATGTCATAGTATCTGAAAATGTATGGGATATGTAGTGTGATTTATACTAAACACATTGTGCCTTGCGCATACAAGGGGCAACCTTCATGAAAATGGGTAATTAATTAATTAGTAAATTCCCATTATGGAAAGAACAAGAGCTCTGTGAATTTTACTCTTATGATGTCCAGTACAGTAGCCAATAAGGATAGAGTAAAAGGCCTGTTACCTCAAGGATGTATTTCACACTATACCAGAGATTATCCATAGTGTATATACCACCTGTCAATGTATTTGCGTATATTGCAAATATTATACATAGTACATGGGTAATTTTGTGTGAAGGATGACCATGGCAACAGTGGAACAAGTTCGATAAAAATATACATTTATACAGGAGTGCAGCCTGACTAGATTTATCTTGGATGTTAAAATATCAGAATGTGTTGAAAACCCCTTCTCAGAGGACCTTTCTGAACTGCAGGCTTATGTTTGGTTCATAGTTTTTAGAAATGCAAATTTCTATTGGATATCTGGTGATGATCGAAACATCTTAGGACTGATATCCAGTCTGATTGGTGCTCAGCTCTCCCAGTTGACCAGTGGGTGTCTTCAGTTCTGCCTGAACAGCAGATTGTGATGTTAAAGGCCTCTGTCATGATCCTTACTCAAGACAAGTGTCACATGCTTGCGGTGGGAGACCCATGAGCAGTTGGCAGGTGTATTGTTGTCGTGGAGTGTTCCTTTGTAGAGCTCTCCTGCCATCCTGACCACAGGATGAGCATGTGGTGGACAAAGTGAGAGATACCCTTCATCAGTGAAGAGAGGACTCTGTAAACTCACTCCCACCCAGCAGGTAACTAGCCTTAGTTTGAGGAACCAAAACTTTGTACCAGAGAGCATCCTCAAGGAACTGCGTCAACGTCTTTTAGAGATATGCTATTACACCCAGACAGAGCCTCACTCCACCAAGTAATCCACTTATTGCCTGCTTCTGTTCCTGCAGAGAGAAAGGTGTAAAGGGATCCCATAGTACACTCCAGAAGAGGGAGAAGGCCCTGCTGAAAGGATGCTGGATGACGGCAATGAGATGCAGGGAGCTGCTGTGGCTGAGCTGTGTCATTCCTGATCGGGTGTTGGGAGCCGAGCGAGTGGGAGAAGCAAAGGGAGGTAGAGAGGGAAGAGGAGGAGTGGAGCTCTGTCTGTCGAGTGCAGTGCTGAGGGCAGGTCCTGAGCTAGACTACTGAGGGCCCAGAGTCCAGATGTGAACCTGCCCTCAGGGTCTCGTTTGTTGACGGAACACTGGCTAAGTGCAAGGTGACCAAGTCCCAGCGGTTAGTCAGAGTGAACGAAAGAAAGAAAAACATCTTAGTACCTCCGAGCTGGTTTCTAACTCTGGATTTTACTTACTTTTTTCAACTTAAGAAATAAAATGTTTTACAAATGGTTGTGCTACATATTTACAGATTTTTCATTGGGCAATCATTACTTCAAGTACAAGATGCTTAGTTTCATTCAACAGGGGAGGAAGGGCTGCTACAGGAGGGCTACAGTCCGTGGGGGTTATTGCTAGCAGTGGTTCACAGTCGTGGTAAGTGCAAGGGAGGGGGGGGGCAGATGAGGGTTCTACAGTAGGAGACTAAAATGGAAGCACAGCAGATTCACAGATGCTAAGGACAGCTGTGACAAAGAGCACACCCCAGTCCCATGGCAAAACAGAGGCCCACAGTGGAGAAGTGGAGAAGCGCTAGCTCCTCCCATTGAATTAGGGTCAGAGGTATGGAAAACCAGGAGAACCACTTGATGCTCCCCTGTGACAGGCCTTTGGTTTAGAGGAAATCAGGAGAATCCCAAACTCCTCAGCCACGATGGGCCACTGGCTTATGGTTAGAGGAAACCAGAAGAAATGCTAGCTTCTCATTCATGATGGACCAGTGGGTTAAGTTTAGGGTTAAGTTTAGGGTTAGGGGAAACTTGGAGATGAGCTTGCTCCGCGACCACGGTGGGCCATTGGGTTATGGTTAGGGGAAACCAGGAGAAACATTAGCTCCTGAACCCAAGACAGCTGGCTGGCAGCCCGAAAGGTTCTGCTGATCTTTGGTGGGCTGGTTTTCGCTGGTTGTTGACAGTTGACTTTAGCACTGCTCTTGGAGAGGCAGGAGACTGGTCCCCACTCAGCAAAATGTATTTGTTTTAGATTATTATCATACATTTCCCATTGACTCTTATCATAGTAATGTTTGCTTAATTTCAAGCAAGAATCTCTCTCCAGCATAAACATTGTGCTATCATATAAAAGTCTATAATCTCTCCTGAATATCACTTATCAAAAAAGTCTGAATTATTGTTTGGACATCAGTAATGACATCTAATGACATCCAGAGTCTAATCTCTGAGTGCCAGTGGAAAAATTAATATTCATATTCTAAACACACATTGAGACATCACTAGCATAGTGTAATAGTCATATCAATATTTAATTTTAGAGTAAACGGACAAGCTACAATTTTAAGTGTTATAAGTTCCATGGTATGTGGTTAAACTCCCGCAAAGACCTTAAGAGGGCGCTGTCACCCCCCCAACAGCCACTGCTTCCTAATGGTACCAAGTCTCCTGCTCAGTCAGAGCAGCGTGGCTCTCGGAGCCTCCCTAACTCCCTGACACTACACCCCCCCCCATCCTCTCCCCCCTGAACGTTACAGTCCACGTGCTAATCAAGCATCACGCGCAGCAGCTTCAGGGCACATGGCACAGTCACAGTAGGGGCAGCGTCAGCGGAGGAGCGCAGGAGGAGGGCAAGCAGGAGGTGCAGGCCATGGCTGTAGCTTCGGCCATGGTGATTGGGGGGGAGAGCTCGTTGTCACAGCTCAGGCTGCCGGGAGGAGAGCCGCCCAGTGCGGAGCTCAGCTTTGCAACCATGGCGTGAGGCGGACGAGCGTCTCTAGGCCAGTACCTGCTCCTCGAGGAGGGCCTGGGTCCTTTTGATTTTGCTCTGGCGGTAGTACTCCATAATCATCATGGCTGCGTAGATCTTGCCCACCGTCAGGTCTGTAGCTGTTGAGAAAAGGACAGATTACCCTGCACGACGGTGTAGAGCGCGCCGCACCCAGAGCCGGGGGAACGGCAGGAGGTAAGACGCCACGGAGATGCACAGACCGCAGATCGCTGGTGGAATCCGCTTTGAAGGCTCTTCCCCTCTGCTGTACTTCGATTACCCTCTAAAGCGGACACCCCGGGGAGAACATCAGGCGTCTTGGCCTCTCTGATTCATAATAATAGCCATGGCACTTTTGGTATTATTTGGTGTAACAGTGTTTTTAGATGGATTCTGCGGCGTAATCTCCATTCTTTTTCAGACTGCCATTAGGCTGGGGTGTCCCGGGTTTGTGTGCCATGGCATTTTATGCAAATGTTTGTGCTCTGGATGAATGATTGTATGTGACACGCTTCTGGCAGTGAGGTAGGGGGGTTTTCTGCCATGGGTGGAGGCATGCTGAGTTCAGCGGCAAGCGAGAAGCTGTCCTCTGGGGGGAAGCAAGTCGGACAGACAAACCTTCTGGAAACTTACGCTTGTGTGGGGTGACCAGGAGGTCCAAAGTCTTCTGGGAGAGATTGGGCCAGATTGCCATCATCTCCTTCCGCAGCTCAGAGTCCATCTGGTGCTTGTCTGCACCACCTGCACCACACACACACGCACACGCACACACACAGACACACATGGACATGTGCACACAAGCAAATGCACACACACACACACACACACACACACACACAATATGCACCAAGGCAGTCACCAGCATCAGACACAAGGGGGCAGTCACATATATGGACACACACACAAAACATACACACAGAAAAAGGACTGTTATTAAAGAGAACCAGATCATTTTTATTCCACCGAAATACAGCTGAAGGAAGAGAATGGAGTGTAGCATCACGATGCGAAACCACAACACAACACTTGACAACCAGGGTCCACCGTACAGACCAGGGAACCAGTGTATAGACAGTTAGAGGCAAGCAGAGAGGATAAACTGTAAGCGAGGGGGCACACGGACCTCCTACAGCACAAACGTATGGCTGACAGGAAGTGACACGTGTAGCCTTTAAGAACTCCTCTCTCTTTACTGATGAGGCATAAGTCACAGCCTTAACTGCCTTTACACTGGGAGGGGTAGGGAAAGTTAGCAGAAGGCGAAGGTAAACATTTATTAATCAGGTTACACGTGAAGCTACGGTTGTGGCAGGGACAGCTGTCTGCAGAGAACACCCCAGGCTTTAGCCTGTTCTGCAGTGGATCTCTTCTCACATTGTCATCACAATAAGTATCTGGCAAGTCTGATATGTCTACCATAGCATATACATTTGCACGACACCAGGAGATATGAAGAAGAAAGCTCAGACGTGGGGACACACATTTAGATGTCCCTTCCCGCCTTGTGAGAAGGACAGCTAAAGAATGTGTGTGCCCAGTCTCCCGAGAAACCTCTTTGTGTGAGGACTGCAGGAAGCGGCAGCCCTGGCTGAGCCGTCGCGGCCACTTCCAGAGGCATTCTGTCCCCAGCAGGTGCCCTCTGCCACCACAGGGTCACTACCTCGGACGCTGGGACTCTACTGGAAAAACTGAAAGCGTCTTCTCAATGAAAAGGGAAGAAGGTGAGGCACAGGGACGAGACTCTGACACACCACACAATCAGCAGGCCATGAGAAAAAGAGAGAAGAAGAGAAGTTAGAGGTAATAACAAAGAATTCTCCAAACCTTCCGTACCCTTGGCGATCTTGATGTCTAACGCAGTGCGGATTAAGGCCATGAGGGTGGAGTTGAAATGGACGCTGTTGTCATCAGCGACTGGCAGATCCATCCGCAGCAGTCTCTGTGGAAAGTCAGTCACCACGAGTGAGGCGCATAGTTTGGGAGGTGAGGGAATGGGCAATCGGTCTGAACCTCCAGGAGGAAGGGAGCAGAGCGGAGGATGAAGGGGCAGCTCTGTAGGCAAAAGACCAACAACCAACTGAAAATGCTCCATTATCTACAGAGACTGTTGATTTCTTGTTAGTGATTCAGGAACACGCAGAGAGATCATGCAAACCCATATCCTTCAGCTCCTTCATATTCTCCCTATACAGCCACTGTCTTCCTGACCTCTCATTGACTTGAGGTATTTCTCCTGCACCAGTCTACTGAAAGACTTGATGTTGAACCTTTGGCAGCCATACTGAAGTCAAGAATCAAATAGACTCGTTGAAGGACAATGGATCCTTACTGTTAATCATTTCTAGAATGTCTTGGTGCAGGTGTCAGAGTCCTGTTTCAGTCTGAAAGGTCCCAGAGACAACGGACTCCGCAGCGTAAGGCTGGCTAAAGGGTCGGGTCTTGGCTACAGAGCTCTCCCTGTTGGAGGTTCATGACAACATTTCATGGTCCTGTCAAGAAAATAAATGCATAAATAGACACAGTGACTTTCCAGTCACCGTCTTTATTTATGATTTATTAACCTTTGCTCTACTGAAAAATGCACCAGGCATTCACTGACATGGCATTGTCAAATGCTTGTCATTCCTGTTGCCATGGCAACCCCCCCCCCCCCCCCCCCCCCCCCACCCCCACCCACCCAACCGCCATGCAGCAGACCATGCTGGACCCCATGCATCATGCAGGAGACACAGCAACACACGCAAATACATACGTGAACAGGACAAGCAGCCGTGCAGCCATAATACAGAAAGCGTTGTCGGTTGGTCGTTTTGTTAATGATCATTTCTGTGGCTGTCACACTATCGACTGAGACCCATTTGTAGCTGGGCTACAGGAAAAAAAAAAAGTGCTATCCAGACTCTCTGATCTCTCCGTGCGAAAATGGGTGCAACCTACACGGGAGGAACACTACTGCAGCATTCCGCGGGAAAGAGAGGGGTCCCGCCACCCAGGGCTGGGCAGTGTGTTAGGCTACGTCAAGCTGGAAGGCTGTGACACAAAAACCAGGAGGGGGTGCAAATGCCTGACTATTACAGGGGGGAAAAGAGACAAGGGGGTGTGTCCGGAGATACTACCATTTAGAAGCCAAAAAGTGAAAGAGGTCAGAGGATTCGGGAAATAAGAGGAAGAGGAGAAGATATCATCAGAAGCCAAGGCAGGAGAATGACAAAGGAGTTCAAATCAAAAGAGCAAAGAAAGATCTACCACCAAGGAAGCTGGTCATGTCCGACAAACAGCAATCCTGCCTGAAGCCACTACTGTCTCAGCAGAAGAAAGAAGAGGGCGAGTTGGAGAGGAATCGACTCTGCTCAGCCATGCTGAGATTCAGGGGTCAGGATGGGCAGGGGGGGCGATTCTGAGAACAAGCCATCGTGTTTGGGTGGGTGTGAAGGCAGGGTGCAGAGTCACCTCAAAGGAAGCAGAATCCAGCACCTTTAATTAACGAGCTGCATGATCTTGGAGACCGTGAATTTTGGACTATCCAATTCACCCCAACGGCACCCTGGGGGTGAATGTGATCCGGGGAAAAGGATCAGAGACTGATGGGACAGGTGAGGCCATGTAGGCGAATCACGTCAGGAGACACTTCAGGAGGGAGGCTGGCAGGACCAGAGAAGACAGGGATGGCAGGTAAGAGGAGGAGAAAAGCCAAAAGAGGAGGCATGAGAAAAGGAAGGGGGGAGGGCAGGATAGTGAGGGGAGGTCAAGGGGGCACACTGGAGACTGTCATCCAGTAAGAACTGGCACTGTAGCAATGATGGATGACCCTTTGGGAAGGAGAGTTTCTTCTCCGTGTGGAGCAGCAGATTGCTCACGCATGGGCATGAAGGCCAGCATCTGCGAGCGTGCAGCACCAGCCGCCCACGCGGCAGGGCTAGCCGTATCGCTACGCGTTAGCCGTATCGCTACGCCGGCAGTGAGCCGGCGTGTGGCAGGCAGCTCTAGTGTGATCCATGGCCCTGCGACCATCCCTTTGACCAGCACAAGCCTTCTTCTGCAGGTCACCAAGAGAACTCTGGGTGCTGCACTAGTCTTTAAGCAGTACGTCTCCCTCTGACCTGGGACGAGGGAGCGTGTTCCAAGTCATTTACAAAAGTCATCATAGTCATCAATGCCTGGTAGAGCTCACCGGGCTCACGGTGAAATGGGAAGCCTGGTCCCTCTCCCAGCAGGACCAAATTGTTAAGCCCATCTGATACAGCCTTTAGTCCCTGACCAACTTGAGTGAGTGGGCAAGACCCCATCTCCCGTGGGTATAAGCTCATAAACTCTCCAAAAATAACACTGCTGGCATAAAAATGACCCTGCGGTGGACCGCAATGTTTACAGACCAATGAGAACAAGGGACATCAGTTTCACATCAGCAAATCACGACAAAGCAACTGTTTTTTTTTGTGCTCCTTTTCCCTTAGGAGCTAATGTCTGGGAAAGTTGGGTGGGTGGGGGGGGGGCAGGATAAGGTAGGCCAGGAGAGAGAGAAAAACTGGCAGGGTGGGGGGGGGTTGGGGGGCGCAGTGCGTCACCATCCCGGGAGGAGGGGTGAGGGTGTGTGGGAGGCGGCCAAGCTAGGATGAGGAGGCGGGGCATGCAGAGGGGGAGGAGCAAAGGGCGGGGCTGTGAACAGCATGTACATATAGGAGGAAACAGAGCCGAACTGCATTGACAGGAGAAACAAAAGACGCATGGAAGAGTTAGTTGGCTGATTTATTGTTGGACCTGGGTTTACCCTTCTGGGCTATTTGACATTTCTGTTGACGCTGAAATAGTGAGTATTTTCTGTCTTTTTACCCAACAAAGAAAGGCTGATGAAGATGCTCATGTTTCAGAGAGAGACAGAAGCCTGGCTGTGTGTGTCTGTATGTGTGTGAGACCGTCGCTACGAAGCCATTCGCAGGAAGGAAAGACCCGGAGAGCAGAAGACGCACGCGGGCCCTCAGCTGTCCTGCTGCACACGCGCCGCCGCCGACGGAGGGACGCCCGGACCCTCCGCACTCTGCCGCCCCGTCGCCCTATCGGGCAGCGGCCCGCTCTCTGAACGTCTGTCCCGGTGCCACGACAAACCAGCGCTTCGCCGCATATCAACGCTGGCACTTTAATGCATTTCCATGCACTTGATCCTTCAGGGATGTTCTCTGGATCTCAGAATACAGAGGCCGCCCTGGGAATGGTTCACGTGCCGATGACGATTAGCTGAGTGCTGTCACTGGTCCCCTGGCCGGGCCGTGGTCTAGCCCTGACCCTGCGCGGTCCTGCCGGCCAGGGAGGCCCTAAACCTACGCAAGCGTACTACCGTGGGAGAATGTGGCGTCTAGCGGACTGGCGGTGCAAAAGGGCAGAGAGGGTCCCTCTGTTCTTCCCCTCCTGCGGATAGACTTGTCGCTGGCTGGGCCTAAACCCCCCGGAAAACCCCCCCCCCCCCCCCCCCCCCCACCCCTCCCACTTCCACAACCAGAAAAACAGAACGAAAGGCAAAGTAAGAAACACCAACAGTACAGACAACAGCCCCGGTCCCGTCCGGCTCCCTCTACCTTGTAGGCAACCCGTGCTGGGCATTTCCTCCCCAGGCCTAACGGCGGAGACATTTGCCTGAGCATCTCATACATATCAGTGTAAGTGATCCGGCCACTGTAGGGCCAGAGACACCGGGGTGGGGGGGGGGGGGGGGAGGGGGGGGGGATAACAACACAGAACACAGAGGAACAGGAAGTGTGCGGGGCACAGGAGGAGGGGGAAGGGGACACACAAAAAAAAACAAGGTTATTCTCTCAGCCACTCAGGGACACCGTCAGAGAGCCTGTCTGACCTTTGGCTAAGTAAAAGGTCAGGGGAAAGGCGGGTTTGGGTTCGGCGCCGAACTCGATTCTATGCAAGTGGGGCGGGTTGCATAGAACAGCGGGGGAGCTTCCAACAGGCAAGAAGCCCCACTGCTGAAGTGCAAAATGGCAGTCAGTGTGTCAATGCAGTTCCTATCCCCCCAGAACAATGCACGCTACCAATCCCACGGTGCCTAGCCACGGCTAAACAGCAAGCAAAAAAAAAAAACACAAGATGGTGAGTTGTAGTTTTTTTTTTTTTTTTTTTTGGTTCTCGGGGGTTTCAGTTCATGCGTGGCTTGTTTGCATTGTCCTGCACATTCTCGTTTGGAATCAGAATGCAGTAGGAATGGCAGAAAACAAAAGAGAAAGAAGCGACATTCATTCCAGTCTCGATGCTAGCAGTGCGTTAGGGTTTTAGTGGAGTTCAAACCTTGCAGGCCACCCTATGGGGGCATTTCTTGCCTAAGCCCAGGGGGGGGTCGATAACTCGTAATAAACTGTACATATCCTTATAATGAATGCGCCCGCTGAAAGAAGAATAGAGGGAGTTAGAGCAGACAACAGACAGCACAGACACTGAGACATCGGAAGGAGGACAGAGAGAGAGAGAGAGAGAGGCCCGTGGGCCACCCTCGGAGTCAGGGGCTGTGACTCTAGCTGACCTAAGCCGCTACTGGCTCCGTACTCGTGACTTTAGGCCACGAGGCCACCTTTTCTATATATATATAAAATTCAAGAGGTGTTCCTCAGAGCAGGAATCTTGTTTAATTATTTATTTAAATAGTACTTCTTAAGTATACAGGACTTGTACTACAGGGTCCACAAGTATTTCTGTTAATCCCTCTCCACGCTTGTTTTACTCTGTTTTACTCTATAACCATATTCATTATGTTACTCTGTGACCATACTCATTGTTTTACTCTATGACCATACTCATTGCATTACTCTGTTACCATACTCATTGCATTACTGTTACCATACTCATTGTTATACTCTGCTACCATACTTATTGCTGTGATTCCAGTTTACTGTTCTCCTTCCCAGAACACTTTCTTGTAGCATTTTGATCTCATATCGCTCTGCTGTTTCTCACTACCGCCCCCTGCAGTGCAGACTCCGCGACAGCACTAGGGTAACAGGCACTGGAATGCAGATACCAGGAAACTTATCGTGTCTGGGGTTGGTGGAGGGGGCACAGTAAGTTTTTACAGTATGCAGATTCCAGCAGGGGATGGGGGAGGGTTGGTCTTTACAACTCACAAGGAGCAGGGGAACAGGCAGACTGGGGTCTGCGGGTCTCACATCCACGTCCCCTTCTTCTGCACTATAAACTCTGCTCATTTCGTTAAGGACTTTATTTCACTGCTCACTGCTAATTACTCCAGGTCCACTGGAGATGTCTTTTCGACACAGATAGCCATTAAAACACATTTTACAGTTCAGACAGTATGTATCATGTCAGTATGTATCATGTCAGTGCTCTGTGGCCGTGTGTATCTGCATGGGACAGTAGAGTGGGATTATGTGGAGATTGTGAAGAATAATTAAGTAGGAAGGTAAGAAAGTAAGCTTTGTTGCATCTGTCTCTCTTTGTCTGTGTGTGTGTGTGTGTGTATTAATGTGTTAGAGAGCAAGAGATGGATCAGTACTCACCACGCAGCCGGATCGTACTCGGCCCAAATGCGGACGTACTCATCAAGGTGGTGAGGGCCCAGGATGGAGGAATCCCGGGTCAGGTACTCAAAGTTGTCCATGATGACAGCCACAAAGAGGTTCAGCATCTACACACATGTGCACACGCACACAGGAGCCAGGGAAAATGTCACATTCTCCCTCTCAAGCTACACTGATCATAAAAAAATGCTGAAAGTGTGACCTTCCCAAACACGACAGAGGAGTTATGAACGATGGTGGACATGGAGAAGAGGGAAAATGTCCAGCAGGAAGGCCATTTCTCAGCTATTCTGGGTGCTGGCTGTGTGCTGCCTTGTATGAAGGCAATTTTTCTTCACATGTGTGAAATGACATTAAAGTGGCTGGACTTGGAGAGGAAGATGAAAAGTAAGAGGTAGGTGATACATAATAAGGTCTAGAAGAAGGGTGACAGAAGAAAATGGGAGAGAAGAAGAAGATGAAGGAGAGCCCTCACCAGGAAGGAGCAGAGGAAGATGAAGGAGACGAAGTAGAGGTAGGCAAACTCGCTGCCACACTCCGGATCCTTGTTGCCGGAGCGGGGGTCGCACATTTTCCCCCCAAGGCAGGAGAGCATGATGTCGTGCCACGCCTCCCCTGTGGCGCTCCTGCAATACAGCTGCATCTGAGCATGGGTTCCAAGCACCTTCTGCAAAATAACTCAAGGAGTGGCCCCTACAGACATGAACCAAGCAGGTGTGGCCCCTACAGNGTGGCCCCTACAGACATGAACCAAGCAGGTGTGGCCCCTACAGACATGAACCAAGCTGGCGTGGCCTCTACAGGCATGAACCAAGCAGGTGTGGCCCCTATAGGTGTGAACCAGGCAGGCGTGGCCCCTACAGGCATGAACTAAGCAGGCGTGGCCCCGACAGACGTGAACCAAGCAGGCGTGGCCCCTACAGACATGAACCAAGCTGGCGTGGCCCCTACAGACATGAACCAAGCAGGCGTGGCCCCTACAGACATGAACCAAGCAGGCGTGGCCCCTACAGACATGAACCAAGCTGGCGTGGCCCCTACAGACATGAACCAAGCAGGTGTGGCCCCTACAGGTATGAACCAGGCAGGCGTGGCCCCTACAGGCATGAACCAAGCAGGCGTGGCCCCTACAGACATGAACCAAGCNCATGAACCAAGCAGGCGTGGCCCCTACAGACATGAACCAAGCAGGTGTGGCCCCTACAGACATGAACCAAGCTGGCGTGGGCCCTACAGGCATGAACCAAGCAGGTGTGGCCCCTACAGGTATGAACCAGGCAGGCGTGGCCCCTACAGACATCAACCAAGCAGGTGTGGCCCCTACAGACATGAACCAAGCTGGCGTGGCCCCTACAGACATGAACCAAGCAGGCATGGCCCCTACAGACATGAACCAAGCAGGCGTGGCCCCTACAGACATGAACCAAGCAGGCGTGGCCCCTACAGACATGAACCAAGCAGGCGTGGCCCCTTCCCTTTCATACAGTTAATGATCCCTAGAGCCACCCCAACCAAAACTCAGCAGGAAGTGCCATCCATGGTGAATCCTCTACAGAGCTTCCGTAAGCCGACCCCAGGAAACACAAGGCAGAGGACACCAGGCATGGGATGCTAGTCCATCACACAGTGCATCACACCCTAACTGTAACTGCTACAGTGACATTTCAGCAACATCATTTCATGTAACTCAGTGTTTATCAACCCGATCCACTCGGACCTCCGGACGGTCCATGTTCTTGCTCCCTCGCAGCTTCTGGTAGCAAAAACATGGACTGTCTGCGGGTTGCTGAGAGCCGGGTTGAGAAACACTGATCTAACTCCACAAAGAAGGAAGGCTCCAGCCCTGGAGATGTAAAACCATGACAGCACCCACTGAGTCGCCAGGCCGAAAGAAGAAGCTAAGGTTTTAAAGCTTTTCTGGAGTCGTAGACCTGTGACTCCATCACCATCAAGCCAGAAGCATACATAGACATGCATGCACAGACCTGAAGAGTAACATGAGGGCTTGGAAGAAGGTCCTGAAGTTGTTGTGCTGGTTGATGGCACTCTCTCCATCCTCATTGATCTCTATGTTTCCGAAAAGCTGGTGATAATAACAGCCAGATTAATAAGCGTCACTTCATATAGGCAACGGATCTCTGCTTAGTCAGTGTCTCGTACAGGTAAGTCGGAGCGAGAACGGTGACGGCAGGCTTGGCACAGACTGAGCAGGACGGCATCCCTGCAGCTCACCTGCATGCCGATGATGGCGTAGATGAAAAACAGCATGGCGATGAGCAGGCACACATATGGCAGGGCCTGTGGGCAGAGGGGCACGGGGCGGGGGGAACAGTGTCACAGCTCAGCTCCCGCTGCCGCAGGTCAAAGAGACACAAGTAAAACTTTCTGTGCTAGAAAGGACACATGGGACTGTCTGTGCTTCGCCTAGTCAGTGTGTCAGAGTGTCAGTGCTACAGTGTTTGTGCTTCACCTATTCACTGTGTCAGAGTGTCAGTGCTACAGTGTGTCTGTGCTTCACCTATTCACTGTGTCAGAGTGTCAGTGCTACAGTGTGTCTGTGCTTCACCTAGTCGGTGTGTCAGAGTGTCAGTGCTACTCTGTCTCTGGGCTTCACCTATTCAGTGTGTCAGAGTGTCAGTGCTACAGAGTGTCTGTGCTTCACCTAGTCAGTATGTCAGAGTGTCAGTGCTACAGTGTCACTGTGCTTCACCTAGTCAGTATGTCAGAGTGTCAGTGCTACAGTGTGTCTGTGCTTCACCTAGTCGGTGTGTCAGAGTGTCAGTGCTACTCTGTCTCTGGGCTTCACCTATTCAGTATGTCAGAGTGTCAGTGCTACAGTGTCACTGTGCTTCACCTAGTCAGTGCAGATGATCTGGGCCCTAACCCAGTGTGTGGGTTAGGGTTAGGGCCCGCTGTGTGGGTCAGGGTTAGAGCCTGGTGTGTGGGTTCGGGTCAGGACCCAGTGTGCAGGTCAGGGTTAGGGCCCGGTGTGTGGGTACCTTGAAAGACTGCACGAAGGTCCAGAGCAGGATGCGGATGGTCTCGCCTTGGCGTAGCAGCTTGATCAGGCGAGCTGCCCTGAAGAGCCTGAGAAAACTCAGGTTGATGAAGTTGTTCTGAAAAACAGGGAATATGGAAGAGAAAGCAAGGAGGAGAGACATGGAGACGGAGACAGGAAGAAGAGGAGCAGGTAAAGGAAAAGGGCGGAGCCTACACTGGCAGGGAGGCTCACGCCGCCATCTTTAAGGAACAACAACCCAAAACATAGCAAGGGCACAGACAGTAGGGGCAGTTAGGGTGCAAGAAAGAGTCCAAATTAAAAAATAACATCAAGAACATAAAATCAAACAAAGAGGGTGTCTAAAACTGTCATAAATCATAAAATGTAACAATAATCACCCAATTGTTTAAATGAACTGCTTTTTAAGACAACCAAATGCACTGATCTATTGGGACGAGCAGGCCACAGAGCTGGGGGGGGGGGGTGCTCCTCGTGCACAGACCGGGAAACCGCCTGGGCATGCATGGCAGTGACCCCCCAGGCTGGCGGGATGCCGGACGCGGTAGTTGCTTTTACTAACAACCTCTTAGATTGAAACAAAAGCCTAAGAACAGCACAGTGAAGTATATTATGGTGCCTCCTGCTCTATACAGGATTTACTTCTCAAAGGAACAGAAAGAAATGCATCAATCTCTAATTATATATATGGTCATGCTCTAGCACATTAAATGTTTTATTATAATGATAAAAATATATATATATGTTTTTTAATTACCACCCTGGTGAGTGAGGTGGTAATCATTTATACATCATAATATCAAATCATTATTTCTTGAAGAACATGGTAAAACTCCAGATTTCACCACAATATCTCCTGCACAGTCCTTGAAGACATGCACTGTTATTCACCTTCCTGCCACTAGAGGCAGTGTCACACAGCACAGGAACCTCTGAATGGGAGACTTCCTCATGCAGCTCCCTTTTAGAGCATGCTCGTGTTGGCAGCGAACGGAAGGTGGATCTGTGTTCAGAATGCATGTCTGTGCATTTTACTCTGCACTCTATCAGTGCATGTGCCTCTGAATCAGAATATATGCTGTGATGTTCCAGCGTGTCCCAGACGCAGTGCGTCATGGATGTCAAGCATCCATGCCCATGAGCGCGTAAGCGCACGCGTGTGCTGCATATGTATGCATGTGTGCGGCTCTACATGTGTGCACGCACGTGTCCCTGGCTAACATACTGTACGCGTGTGAGGTAGGTCTCAGCTCAGCAGCACGATGAATCGCATGCACAAAGGTCAAAGGTCAGAGAGAGAAGCACGTGCACCATGGCCTCGACAGGAAGAAGATGCAAAGAACTACAAACCAACCAGGTTCTACATGTAGATGTGGTTTTTTTTTGTGGGGGGTTGATTGGCAGCCATTGTACAAAGTCGGTTGGCATGAACACAGACCAGTTCATGGATGGACACATGAGTTTCATAGTGCATTTTGATTGGATGAATTTTATCAGAAGATGTAGGCGCCAATAAAGCACAGTATAAAGAAAGCATGTAAAAAGATAAAACAAGAAATAAATAATCATTATAGATATATTTTAACAGACCGTTCAGTCAAAGCAGACATTCCATTACACTGCTAAAAATTTGGAAAAAAATGTACACGCCACACTGCATGACACCCACACTGCATGACACCCACACTGCATGACACCCACACTGCATCACACACTGGCATTCTAAACTGGTAACAGGACAAAACAGAAAGAAGCAGACACAGCATTACAACACAGTGTACATGTTATTCTATCAGGGTTATGGTATAACTTTGCTGTTCCTCAGTATGAATAGATCACTTCAGTTCTGTCATCTAACTGGACAGTCAGTATTCTATATCTGTGTTACCTGTCATTCAATCTGCTCAACTGATTTGACCCATAATGCAAAACATTTGAAAGGCATTTGGCATGGGGAAAAATGTGTCAAAAAGCACACCCACTATTTATACTTAATGTTTTACTGACAGTGAACTATGCCTTATAAATGAGAGCTAATCATTCATGGTTCTGCTGCCTTAACTGGCCACTAGATGTCCCTCTCTTTGGGAAATCAAGGGCCTCCCTTACATAAGAGTACCGGTAGTCATTTACCTTCCACGCCACCTGTAATTCAGTCTTTCCGCTGTATAGCATAAACCGTCAATTTTTTTGCAGAAATGTGATTTATTTAGTCCAAGTTTCTGCTACATGCAAACATGAAATCCATACCCTGAATGTTGCGTTGGCGATGAGTGGAAAAGTAAGGATATAAAGTCTGATTTCAAGACAACACCACATGGTATGCAATGTAAGCAGCACTGTACGCACTGTAAGCAGCACTGTACGAACTGCAAACTGCACTCCATGCTTTATAAATAGGTCCAATAGAGATGAAAAGTTAAAGTAACACGTGGTATGCAGTGAACGTTTTTCAGTGGAGTTTATGTCTGACTGGCTATAGGTCTGCTATTGATGAATGTGAACCGGTGAATGTATCTTTGAACCCATGGCTCCCCCTAACCTGCCCTTGCCTGTGGATGAGCTATCTGAGATCTCCTGGAACAGTGAAGATAAGCAAATTTCTCTGATGGTCCTGCTGGCCTGTCCACACCCCACATACATAACACATGTAAAGTTCATACTTCAAACATGATGTCTGTGACATGCATACACACACACACACACACGCAAGCCGGCCGACTACCTCCTTCGGCAAACTTACCCCAAGCTCTGTCACCAAAATGTCCGTGATGCTGCCAAGAACAGTCACACAGTCGAAAATGTTCCACGCATCCTTGAAGTAGTTCTGTGGAGATATGAGGTGAGACGTCATTGTCAGCAAAGTGGCCTCAGAACAGAAGCTGTCTTTGGGGTCTACCTGGCCTTCACCACCAAGGGCACCACTAGAGATTTTGGGCCCCACCCCAGAGAAACCCAATTATGTTCCAACTTGTCCCCTTTCACAGTGTCGCTGATCACTGGCCAGACAAAGAAACAGAATTTTCCCTGTATTTTTCACGTAGTCATTTCTGAGAAGCTGACTATTGTTATGTAATAGTCCAGAAGTAACATGCATGATGCGGAAGTATTTTCTTTACTGGTTACAGGAGAGCATTGCTAATTTAAATGCCCCCACCATGTGGCCACCCTGGTTTTTCTTGCTACTCCTTCTCTGGCCGAGCTCTCTATCTTCACTCTCACACTCCTCTCCCTACTGTCTTTACATCTGCTCTCCCTTCTAAACCCCCCCGCCCTCCCCCAGGGTGTCTATACCCCAAGGGCTCTGCGAGGTTTCCGTCACTGGATAGGTGAGCGATAAGACACGGGCATGCTGGGAAGGTCACAGGAGGACGGGCTCACCAGTGCTCCGAAAGCAATGATCTTCAGAATACACTCCATAGAGAAAAGGCCAGTGAAAACAATGTTGAGGTACTTCAGAACGTTCTCGTAGGCGTCTGAGGCTCCGTTGTACTGCACACACATACACACACACACACACACACACACACACATAGAAAACAAGACATATAAAGACATAAAACAGACACATTAGAACACACAAAACAGAAACACTCATATTTTAAGCAACTGGTCTCTTGTTCTTGAAAAGTTAAATGATTAGAGTGTTGCATTATCAATATAACTCCAATCATTATGGAAAGACTATACAGATCCTGAAGGAATACTGTAGCAGGAACTGCAGTAAGTGGACCAACCATACTACAATTACACTAAATAAACCAGACTACACTAAGCTCTACAATGATCAGAAGTAATGCACCGAGCAGTCGGTTATAGGAAAGTAAAGGAGCTCATTAGACTGTAGCCAGAGGCAGACATTTCAGGTCCAGGAAGTAAAGATCAAAACCAGGATTTTGTTTAAACCAACCAGTTGAGTATAAAGAGTCACAGTCACAGAATACTGGTTGGTTGAAACAAAATCCTGGTTTGGATTTTTACTTTCTGGACTTGAAATGTCCACCTCTGCCTATAGCGGGTCAGGGACTTTACCTTCATCATGAGCACCACAGTGTTGAGCGCGATCATGGCCATGATGGTATATTCAAATGGGGGCGACACCACAAACTCCCACATTCGGTACTGGAAGCTCTGCTTGTTCTGGGGCATATGGCGTGTCAGAGGCTTGGCGTTGATGGCAAAGTCGATGCAGGCTCTCTACAACACAACAGCCGGGCACATGGGTTAGGAGATTAGTGCTAACGTTAGGGTTAGAGGGTTAGGGTGAAGGGGTTAGGGTTAAAGGATCTTAGGTTAGGGTTAGGGTTGGGTTTAGGACTGTCTGAGCAGGTCACTCAGGGACACCAGGGATGGCCTTTTGGAGAGGGAGGGGCACAAGTCACCTCATTCTTTTCCAAACTATAGTCCTCCATCATCTTGTCTCCTTGCTCCTGGAATGTGATGATGATGAGAGCCACAAAGATGTTGACGAAGAAGAAGGGGAAGACCACGAAATACACCACGTAGAAGATGGACATCTCCATCCGGTACCCCGGGCTCGGGCCCTGATTCTCATAAGTCGCATCCACTGAATGTTTCAGCACCCTGAAGTGAAGACAAAGGTTCGCATAGTTTGAGTGCAGGAAGCCGTCTTGCCGAGAGGGAGCCGTAACGAATGGATGGGAACTATAGAATGCCAACGCAAGATATATATAGATATTACCGCCACCGATATTTTTTTCGAATACTATGTTCACCATGTTGACTGAATACGATCTACATGCAGCTGAATAGGAGATAGGGACACTCACTGCGGCCAGCCCTCTCCAGTAGACACAGTGAAGAGAGTGAGCAGGGCCCAAAGCACGTTGTCGTAGTGGAAATCGTATTTCTTCCACTCCCGCTTCTGAGCTCTTACTTCATTGTCACGCTCATACACCAAGTATTCGCCCCTGGAACAGTCAAACGCCATGGCGTGAGTCTACGTTCCCGAGACACTCTTAATCAAACTCAGCTGCTCCTGACCGACGGATCTTCTACTGGGGTGATCGGCGTTCACCTGCAGTCGCGCTCAAACTCCTTGGACTCGTCGGTGCAGTAGAAGAAGCGGCCCTTGAACAGCTGGACGGCCACCACAGCAAAGATGAACATGAAGAGCATGTAGACGATCAGGATGTTGAGGACGTTCTTCAGAGAGTTCACCACACAGTCGAACACGGCCTGTGCAGAGCAGACACTTTTAGCCAAACAGAGTAACTCACAGATCAGGAAACATACAACATCTTCGGACAAGGGGCCGGACCTTCAGCTTGGGCAACCGCTTGATGGTCTTCAGTGGACGCAGCACCCTCAAAACTCGCAGGGACTTGATCGTGCTGATGTCCTTCCCCTTACTGCTCCCTCTGCAGGCCATTTGGGAATGAGTTATTCAGACGAGGGAGGGTCCCTCAGCCACCAGCATTTTATTGTAGGTTCAGCATGTATGCTGCATTTTATCGGACAGATATAAATATTCCTGACAACTGGGCCCATGAAGCTAGTCAACAGAAATAGACAACCTGGGAACAAAACACAGTCTGCAGGCATTTCTGGAGGGAAACTCCAGCCAAAGCTCTTTCTTTTTTTGAATTGTATGGAGAGAAACAGTTAGTGGGACTTAGTTACCTAGAGGGAAGCTTCAATGGGGGGCGGGGGGGGGGTTTAGTCTCTTGAATGTATGAGGCTTTCGGTGTGAGCAGATGTTTCATCTGTGGTTTTTCTTGGTTTGTCCCTGAAGTGCGACACTATCATGCTATCACACTGTAATCAAAGCCCCTGTGACTGACAAAGTGCTTCTGCATGCAGCTTAAAATGAACAATTCGCCTCACTCTTTCTATTCGGGGTTGAACAGCTTAGTTTTGCTCCGAGGCCTGAACAAAAAAGTTAGAGGTGAGGATCTTCACCTTCATCCCCACTTAGTCTGAAGAGGTAATCCTCCTTTCATTGCTCACAGCTAATAATCGACGTTCGCCATCCTGTGTGATATATCAGCGGGACATTAAAATGACCCAGCGGGTCCTAGGATGTTGCGGCTGTAGGCAGCACAGAGATCTGTCCTTCCTGCATGTCTTCCTCGCCAGATGTGGGGCTGGGGAGAGGTTTTGTCAGGGCTGCCCGTCAGCCTGCTTTTAGCTGCTGATCTCCAGGCGATTTGCTGACTCGCTGCTCCCACCCATCTGCTTCCTAGCTCACTCGCATCTCGCTCCAGCGAATTGCGGCCGCACAGCCTGCCCCCGCCACCAAATGTTAAAAGCTGATACACACAGAAGCATGACCCAGCCTTCTCTTTGCTCCGGATGTCCTGCGTCAGGCTCAGAGGTCGGGGCGCAGCGATCTTAGGAGGTTTTGCTAACTGGACAAAATTCTGCACTGTCAGCATCCGTAAAATGTTGTGTGAACTAAAGCTGAGTCGAAAACTGTGATGAACACATCTAATTCTGAACTCTTTGTACTGATTTATTGGAGGGCGAGAAGGGCACAGAGAAAAAGAGACAGAGAGAGAGGGGGGACAGAGAGAGACACAGAGAAAGAGAGAGAGAGAGAGGGGGGACAGAGAGAGACACAGAGAAAGAGAGGGGGG